ACCAGGAGGACAGACCAGGAGGAGAGACCAGGAGGAGAGACCAGGAGGAGAGACCAGGAGGACAGACCAGGAGGACAGACCAGGAGGAGAGACCAGGAGGAGAGACCAGGAGGACAGACCAGGAGGAGAGACCAGGCAGGCAGACAGACCAGGAGGAGAGACCAGGAGGAGAGACCAGGAGGAGAGACCAGGAGGAGAGACCAGGAGGACAGACCAGGAGGACAGACCAGGAGGAGAGACCAGGAGGAGAGACCAGGAGGAGAGAACAGGAGGAGAGACCAGGTTGAGAGACAAGACAGGTAGACATAATTGTATACGAAGGTCTAAGAGATGGAGCGGTGGAGGGATGGAGATGGATGGAGTGGCACTGACAAGTCCTGCCCTAGAGAGTCTGCATGTGGAAAGGTTCAGCAGTGATCCATGACAAAATAGCTATTTTCCAAGTAGTTAAAGACTGACTGCAGCTAATAAGGACAGTGGGAGAGAGGGAGAGAGAGGAGAGAGAGAGGGAGAGAGAGAGAGAGAGAGAGAGAGAGAGAGAGAGAGAGAGAGAGAGAGAGAGAGAGAGAGAGAGAGAGAGAGAGAGAGAACTGCTATGCTCTGCTCTCTGCTACAAAGAGCAGTCTCAAAAAGGAATGCTGTTTTCATGTTATGAAGTGTCAGAGAATTAAAGAGCAAAAACATTTAGCCATATTGAGGTAGCATATAATGGGTTAATTAGAGGTAGTTTATACTGGGTTAATTAGAGGTAGCTAGTAATGGGTTAATTAGAGGTACCTAGTAATGGGTTAATTAGAGGTACTAGTAATGGGTTAATTAGAGGTAGCTAGTAATGGGTTAATTAGAGGTAGCTAGTAATGGGTTAATTAGAGGTACTAGTAATGGGTTAATTAGAGGTAGCTAGTAATGGGTTAATTAGAGGTACCTAGTAATGCGTTAATTAGAGGTAGCTAGTAATGGGTTAATTAGAGGTACCTAGTAATGCGTTAATTAGAGGTACCTAGTAATGGGTTAATTAGAGGTACTAGTAATGGGTTAATTAGAGGTAGCTAGTAATGGGTTAATTAGAGGTAGCTAGTAATGGGTTAATTAGAGGTAGCTAGTAATGCGTTAATTAGAGGTAGCTAGTAATGGGTTAATTAGAGGTAGCTAGTAATGCGTTAATTAGAGGTAGCTAGTAATGGGTTAATTAGAGGTAGCTAGTAATGGGTTAATTAGAGGTAGCTAGTAATGCGTTAATTAGAGGTAGCTAGTAATGGGTTAATTAGAGGTAGCTAGTAATGCGTTAATTAGAGGTACCTAGTAATGGGTTAATTAGAAAAAAGAAAAACTATTCGAAATAATAAAATGCCTCATATAATGGCTATATGATGATACAATCTAGAGTCAATGGAGACAAGCACAACAGCAGACTAGTGTCTATACAGCGTTGGAACTCCTTTTAATTCAAATGAAAAATCAGTATTCTTCCCACAGAACTAGAATGAGATGAGATGTCTATGATTCTTCCTCCCTGTATGGACAGTTACTATAGCTACCATAACACTGCTATCCACTGCAGCTTGGAAAACACATATTAGTCCTGTTACAATGTTATACACACAGACAATATTTTCTCATCTTAACCATTCCAATTCCTCTAAAAATGGTACTGTTGAATTCTTGATGGTCCCCAATACAGAGACAGTGGTTTAGCAATAGACATGAGAGATCGCGATAGCATCGAGGTAGAGAGAGGAAGAGAGATAGATGAGAGGAGGAGAGGAAAAG